CTTGAATTGTCCAATTTTTTACACCTATTGATTTCGGATCGAGCCCAAAACTTGGGCAACGTCATAATATGGTGGGAGGAGTCATTTGGTGTGTTTTGAGTGAAATCCAATGTATAGAACTTTGAATTACCCAACCACTCTAGTTTGGAACGAACTGCCTTTGAACTTGAATTGTCCAATTTCTTACACCTATTGATTTAGGATCGAGCCCAAAACTTGGGCAACATCTTAATATCGTGGGAGGAGTCGTTTGGTGTTTTTTGAGTGAAATCCAATCGCTAGAACTATGAATTACCCCAACCACTCCAATTTGGAACGAACTGCCTTTGAACTTGAATTGTCGAATTTCTTACACCTATTGATTTCGGATCGAGCCCAAAACTTGGGCAACAACATAATATTGTGGGAGGAGTCATTTGGTGAGTTTTGAGTGAAATCCAATCGCTAGAACTATGAATTACCCCAACCACTCCAATTTGGAACGAACTGCCTTTGAACTTGAATTGTCGAATTTCTTACACCTATTGATTTCGGATCGAGCCCAAAACTTGGGCAACAACATAATATTGTGGGAGGAGTCATTTGGTGTGTTTTGAGCGCTAGAAGTATGGAATACTCCCACCACTCCAATTAGGAACGAACTGCCGTTGAACTTGAACTGTACAATTTCTTACACCTATTGATTTCGGATCGAGCCCAAAACTTAGGCAACATCATAATGTGGTGGTAGGAGTCTTGTGGTGAGTTTTGAGTGAAATCTAATCACTAGAAGTATGGAATATACGAACAACTCCAATTAGAAACGAACTGATGTTGAACTTGAATTATCCAATTTCTCACACCTATTGATTTCGGATCGAGCCCAAAACTTGGGCAACATCATAATATGGGGGGAGCAGTCATTTGGTGAGTTTTGGGTGAAATACAATCGCTAGAACTATGAATTACCCCAACCACTCCAATTCGGGAAGAACTGCCTTTGAACTTGAATTGTTCAATTTCTCACACCTATTGATTTTGGATAGAGTCCAAAACTTGGGCAACATCATAATATGGTGGGAGGAGTCATTTGGTGTGTTTTGAG